TCAGTAAAATGATTGCGCTGGTAAGACTGTGTGTAGAGTGTGCGCGCCTTCGGCTTGGTCCTCGCAGCTGCTGCTCACCTTTAGAGTCTCGTAAACCACCAGCGTCGCACCGAACTGAGGGCTCGATCTGAGCACACGAGCAGCGCTACCCTTGAACAAGGCTCTAGGTCCTTCATCCTTCAAAATTTTTGCAAAGCAATCGGCAATGCCCTTGTACGTAGCCTCCCCCTTTCTAGCTTCTACCTGCAACCTAGTCTTGATGACGTCTGCGGGGGTCGTGAAAAAGGCGGCAGGCATACCAGCAATGGAAGCGCTAGCCAACAATTCGCCAAATCCTAGCTTTTTGCCATTCACGCCTTCTTGAAAAGTGTCCTTTTTCAAATGAGCGTACGCGGTGAAATAGACGGCGCTAAAGGGAATATCTCGGAGAAGGCAGGCTGATGCTCCTCTGTACAGTCCCACCAATCCCAGCTGTCGCACAATGTGCATCGCCCCTCGTGCTACGCGATCCGCTCCTTCTTTTTTCGCAATCTCTCCTGCCACTTGCAACCTGATCTTCACAATCTCGAGTGGGTTTGTAAAGATCTGTATGGACGTGCAGGGAGGTGACCGCAAAATTTGTCAAATCGCGCTCCTTTTGCTGCTGCTTCCCTTTTCACTCTACGGCTGCGCGGTCCGGGCACCTGAGATCCAAGCCACTCTATTACTCACCACTTGGCAACCACCTGCTGTACCACCTGCCACAATCTCCCAGGGCACAGTGATAGCCCCAGTCTCGGGATCCTTGGCATGCGCTCTGACAAGATCGTTGACAGTGAGCTTGATAGCCTTCTCTGGCGCTACGCCCTGTGAATGCAAAGGTCGGGATTAGCAACGGGCTCATCGCACAACGCCATACACGCTAGACCTTGCCGGATTTACTCACCAGCAATTGAGGACCGAGACCGGAGTAGAAGCCCAGAAAGCCTTCGTTCTGGAAGACCTTGCGCACGCAATCTATCGAGTTCTTGTACATCAGAGGTTCGCCGACCACAGAAGATCTGAAAGGGAGTCAAAATGGCTTCAGTGCGTTGCAAAGAAGCGCCGAGAGCCTGTAGCGGGCGGATTGCTGAAAAGGACCATTCTGGAGCTGCCGAAGCGAGCACGTCCTGACGAGACTCACCTCTGGTTTTGCATCCTGGTCTTGACCAGGTCAATGGGATAGACGATCGTAGCTCCGAAAGCACCCGCAATACCGCCGAGTCCAAAGTTGTAAGCGGAATGAGCAGCCTCTGCCAAGAAGCTAACAGCCTGATGTTCAGCCTGAGCTGCTGCCTCTTTCAAGCTCTCCTTTGCCGAATCGCCTCCCGTCGTCTGCGCAGCTTTCGATGCTCGTTGCACGGCTTGACCAGTGCCGGAAGAGGGCAGAGATTTGGGAGGTAGAGGATGAGGATCAAGATCGTCCGAGATGAACAACTCGTGACAGATCAGGGAACTGTCCCCATCTCCAGCTCGGACCTTGGACGTCCTGTATGCTAGTAGACCAGGCGAAGAGAGGGCAACTTCTCTCTGAAATGCGTCCAAGTGCTTTTTGAATGCTGGATCGCCGTCTGGTCTGGCGTAGACCTGCGTGAATGAATCAGGTGGTGATGAAGGATCATCATCAACAAGGACCTAGAGCGCCATGACTATACAATTCAGACTCACCTTGGCGGAAACAGTGAATCTGCCTTCTCCCGGCAGATGAGGTACAACGAACTGGTGCGCGTGCTGATATGACTCTTCGCTATCCTCTGCTGCGGTGCTTGACGATGGCAAGTCGTCCGCATGCACCGGCTGAGACCATGACGGCCTGAACATTGCGGGCAGGAACATCGACATGCTGGCTTCAATTTTGAGTCACAATCTCTAGGAAATCTCCCCTTGGAAGGTCGGACCAGTTAGCAGCGGCGGGGGTGGAAGGTCGGATCCGCGTGGTCGAGTACGAGCGAATGGTGATCTACAAATTCGGAGCGATGCGACAGTCTGGGAAAAGGGGGTGGAGATCAATGGGTTGAGGAGTGTCGGAATGCAAGCGGAGTGATGGTACGATAAGATGATGATGATGATTGCGGGGTACAGGGTTCAAGCGACAACTTTCTGATTGACGGATCTCGGCAACGGCAAGTTCACGATCTTCCTGCCGCTCTACTCTGACTCTGACTGCAAGACATGATATGGCACCATGCACCACTCACCGCTGCTGCTGAAAACAAGCTCGCTGCAATTTGAAGTCACGTATTCGCATTGACATTCATTGAATTCTTGATCTTTGATTGTATATCCTCAGTTGTCCCGCACTCAAGACTACTACTAGTCATCAGTCCTGCCTGGCAAATCAAACATGCAACGATCGCGAATTCGCGATTGAGGTCTTCTGAGTTTGCCGGCCAGCAGCTACAATCATCACGAGTATTAATTAGCCTTTTCACGCGTGTGCAATTTCAATTTCGTAGGCGGCTGCCTCTGATGCTGAAGCGCCATGCATGGCCGCGCCCTCAGACCACACTAGCGGCCTGCACGTGCTGCTGCTGCATGTTTGGAGTCGCCATTCTTCTTGCGCCATGCGGCATCGTACACCACACAAGTAAAGATGATCCGAGACCCCTGCCATGGGCAGAGCGGCGCTGGTGCGCGCCTGATGTCAAGTCCCAGTCAAATGACACTCCACGTGTATCTATACTTGGCATGACCAATTGACCCACAGGCTTACGAATTGGCATTCCTCTCTGCCCGCACAAACGCGAGCACCGACTCGACGTTGCGTTGCGTTGCGTTGCGTGTGGCGCCTCGTGCTTGCGCATCAGCGCGGCACCTCCAGCGGTCCGGGCGCGGGCGGGCCAGGGTGGAGGCGGTTTTTGAGAGGACACGTCACAGCTAGCCGCGTACGACCACGTGGAAAGTATACCTCATTTCAACACGTGATTAAAAAAGGGCGGCAATCAATTGAATGAATCAAGAATTTGAATGAATGCGCGGCCGCCCCGCGAGGCTGCAGCCTCGAGGTGTGCAGCGCGCGCATGCGCCGAAGTCGCGCCACGTCAGCATCGCTGGCGGACGATGCAGGCTCGCGTGAGACGTCCAAGACCCACCTCAGCGACCCCACGAACAGGAAAGCTAAAGCAACAGATCAAACAGTTTCTGCTGTGGCCGCGACAATTGCTTCGCTGCATCAGACTTGCGAGAAGAATTGGTGAGTGCGACAGATGCTCCGTCAGAATGCGGAGTCCTGTTCAAGATGCCAGAAACGGTGAATAGGGTCTGAGCATCGGGATTGCCTCATCATTGCACACAGAGCTGCTCAAAGTGCTCTGCTCGCTGGTCCTGTTTTCAGAGACGCTTCTCGCCTTGTGGCTACTGCCACGTCTCTCGGCATGCCATCGCGCATCGTCCTCTCCAGAAAGGGCATCTCTTCTTCCAACAACGAGCAGACCAGGTCGAATGCTAGCGAAGCTTCACGTCTGCATACGCACCAGAACCAATCAGATGTCCGCCAAAATGCGGTCGCTGGACCCTCAACCCCGCTGGCGGCGCCCGCACCCGCACCCGCACCCGCAGCCCCAGCTCGGCCTCGCATCAAGATCAACCTCAGCAGGCGGAGCAATCATGCCAGCGCAAGCGCCACTCCCAGTCCAGCAGTCGACGCTCCGCTCCTCGGGCAAAGCTACGTCGCGTCGCCTTCTGCAGAATCGCCAGCGAAGAAGAAAGTCAAACGCAAACACAGCGTCTTGGTACCCGCACGACGACAAAGCACCGTCGCCGGCCAAGATGAAGATGTTTCGCACAGTCACACACCTGCTTCTAATGCGGACGGAGACGCCGGCGAGGAAGAGGAGGAGGCGTGGGAAGCGCATACACCCGGGGCAAATGGCGAGGGTGTAGATTTGCGAGATGCCGACGACGATACATCTCAGCAGCCAAGGCAGAGAAGAATGAAACAATTGAAGCGCAAACCGCTCAAACAGGCCTTGGAGCGGGTGCTCACGCAATTACAAAAGCGGGACACTTATCAGTTCTTTTGCTTCCCAGTGGACGAGGCGGAAGTTCCAAATTATAGATCAGTCATCTCTAATCCCATGGACTTTCAAACAATGCAGAACAAGCTGGAAGCGGAGGAATATCGTACCCCCGAAGACTTCAAAGATGATCTGTTGCTCGTCATGCGCAACGCGCAGACGTTCAATCCTCCAGGGTCAATCTACTCAAACGAGGCCAAACGGATAGAGACTTGGGGTGTGCGCGCTATAGATAGAGAAGGCGCCGCGGCTATTCTGCCTGCCGAAGAAGAGGCTGCTGCAGCCCAAGCCGCGCAGGTGGAGGCTGAGGCTGAGGCCGCGGCAGCAGCAGCAGCTGCGGCTGCCTCTCGAGTGTTGCGGCAGCCCAAGCGAGCATCAACAAACGATCTCCAGGTCAAGAGCGAATACGACGAGGAGAACGATTGGGAAGGCTCGGACGGCGGAGGGAGTGGCGATTCGGGTGATGAGAGTAGGGACGCCAGCATGTCGGTCGAGCCTGGCAGACACGGCAGCTTCAGGGCAGATTCCAGTCGACTTGGCAGTCCCGAGGTGGCACGACGAAAGTATGGGCCCAGAGCGTCTCAAAAAGGCCGAAGAGGCGCCAGGCAGAAAATGAATAGTCTTGGATTTCCTAGTCTTTCTCTCTTGGGCACACCGACCACACCGCGATCTGCAGGTGGGATTCTCGGTCTGGCCACCACTGGCGCCGCAAACGTGTCGGAACTCACCTTCTTGGAAGACGGGTCTGTTGACGTAGATGCGCTCGAGATGGATCAGCGAAGAGCTCTGCTGCAGCCGCTCGGCCTTGATGGGGAGGAGAGACGCACCAACGGTACGCTCCTGCCAACTTTCGATGCACTCAATCCGATTCATCCTGCCGCTCAGCTACAAGCGTCGTCTTTCCTTCGGCCTGTGGGCGACACGATCAACCCTTTCACCGCTGCAATTCGAACGGAGCCCTACGAGGTCACGGCTTCGGCAAGTCATGATCTTTCTCAGTTACCCACTGAGCAGCAAAGCACCCCATACTCGGTGCCGAGCGGATGGGGCTACCGCGCTACTCCCACCGATCCTCAAAGAGGTCCCAGAGTACCGTTGGCATGGCCTAGACCAGCTGTCGACTCTGTGGCGGACGCAGAAACCGAAAAGGGAGAACGCAAGATAGGCAAGGATCGAGATAAAGAAAGGGATGACAAGGGAATGGCGAATATTGATGATTGGACGTATAATCGACAATCCGTATCTCGTCTTGCTCATCCGCTGGACTTCGGTCTGTACCCTGGCTTGCTCCCTACCGCCTGGCAGTCGCACATCCAAACGATCAAAGGCGGGCCAGAGAAGAATCGGCTACCCCCTTTCCATCTGACCAACGGGTCCACATACGAGGGTGCACTCAAATCTGAGCTGGAGAAAACCGTCGAAAGGAGCCTTTTTGGCCGCTCGCAGCCTCCTTCTGCAAAGCAATTGATGGATACGAGCACGCTCACAGACGTCGTAGAGTCCATCGTGGTCTCGATGGAGCAACAACTCAAAGCTTCTCCTGACGCTAGAAATGTCGCTGCCTTGCGGGCCCAGGAGACGCTCAAACGTTTGACGTGGAAGAGCGCCATGGGAGAAGGATATGCGCGCAGCGTCGCAGAATTCGTCTCTGGAGCAGCTGGACTGGCTCAGCAGCGCGATGATGTACGTACGAGAGAAGACGCAGAAGAAGCGGCTCTTGAGCTGGCTGAGAAGCAAGATGAGCTGGACCAAGAGAAGAGGGAAGAGGCAGAGACCAAGAGGGCTCATCTGACGGATGACATGCAGAGAGAGGGCGGCTTTGCCCTCTTTCTGGCCTACCACGGTGTCGAGAGAGATGTCTTTTGGAGCACAGAAGTCGAGAAGCCGGACTCGCGACAACGAAGTCAGAGCAAATTTGAACAAGGCACTTGCGGTACACCGATGGAAAAAGAGCCAGAAAGTGGGAGCACACCGCCCATCAACTGCTTTGGCGCGCCTTTGCTTGAGGCGGCGATGCGCGGAATGATACTGGATCGTCCGCTGCAAGCATGGGTGCGAGATGAGATCATCTCTCCCATCACGGGGCGAACGCTGGATGTGCTGGCAAGAGCTGGTGCACTACTCGAAGCTAGCGAGCTCGCAAAGCATCGCAACGATGATCCAGCAAAGATGGAGGACTGCAGACCGAGCGATGCAACGCACGAGGCATTGCCGGTTGATCTAGACGATCTTGACATCTCCCTGCTCGGATCTCAAGAGCACGTCGAGCAGGATCTTGGAGCGTTTTGGTTGACCCAAAGCCATGTTGAAGCCATGCTCCGTCCTGGAGCGCTCGTTGCTCGGGCACGAGCACGAGATGTCGAACGAGCCGCGCGCGACGAAGCGCAAGTCCACGTCATGATTCGCTCGCCTGCCGAGCTGCACGCGCAGGTGCATCAGGAACAAGACCTTGGGGATGTAGGACCCGACACTCCCACGCTGCGATATGCCGACCAAGAATTGGACGCTGAAAAGATCGATCGCATACTCAGGCAGTATGCTAGATTGGTACCGGCCCTTTCTGACCGCGCTTTGGGCCGCCGATTGAGGAGCACCAAACTGCAATCTGGCGCGACGACTGGCAATGCCGAGCAGCTCAGAGCGGATGCGGAGGAGCATAGAAGAGACGCAAAGCTCTGGGACGATCTGAGATTGGGATACATTGCTCTTGCGAGGAACATTCCTGGCATCGAACTGCCCAAGTAGCCGCTGGTGGTACGAGCGCGAGATGAGGAATCACCTTCGGGTCAAGCTGTCTGTTCCCCCCTTATTTCTGGCCATGCATCTGTTTTGTATTGATAGAATGATTGTAATTGAGACTTTGAAAGGACGTCTTGGACGAAGACTAGACTTGGTTTGCTGAGCTTGCTATGCGCTATCGTTTGGACTGTTGCCTTGTGGACCGTCGTGCACCCTCGGTGCGAGATTCTGCACGTGGTGCTGCAGCACGTCCACGCTTGGCGGCCGTAGCGTGCATGTCGTTTGTGACTTTGCGTTTGCTGTTGCCGCCATTTCCGGCTTTCTGCTTCGCCTTTTGCGGCTCGACGTTCTGAACACAAGTCTCCTCGTTCTTCGCAGAGAGTGAGCCTCGCGAAGAGGCAGCAGCAGCAGCAGCTTTCCATTTGCCTGGCCATTCTGACCATCCGCCCCGAGAGCCGAGCAAGAGGATCGCTTCGTACGCTTCATCCGTAACGGGCTGTCAACATTACGCAAGAGAAGGAGGTTAGAGCGCTGCGCTTCGTTCGCTTTCGACAAGCTATGCGCGTGGCGCTTCCCCCACCACTCCATCCCCCCACCCCCCC